CATACGCCTTATCTTGAACAGCTTCTTACCTTTTGCCTTCATTTGAAAACAAACAAAGCTGCAGAGAAAATCTTCCATCCATTTTTATAGTTCCAACATCACTAGTCTGCTCCTGGTCGGGTATCTGAGGTGACAGGTTAACACACAACCATACACGAATTAAAAAATGTATGACTGGAGTAACTGGGCAAGATATGGACGCAAACTTTTCTTGGAAAAGTCCATCAGGAGGAGAAATTTGTTTTTTATTAAAAAGCAAGACTTGAGCTGCGCATGTGAAGAAATTTGGGGACGAAAGATCACCGCTGGTTACTTTGCCACGTGTTACAATGTGGTAATTTGTACAAAAATTGCTGGCGATATAAAAGGGAAGAATATAATCCGATTCCAGCTAATCGGCGAATGCATCGTATCTTATTCGTCTTTGATGCTTTGCTTTTCATTCCTTTAAAATGGAAGAAAATTACATCTTCATCAAAAGTCGATGACCTACGCAATAGAAAACTACCTTGTGAGTAGTTTCCTCCATGAAAACAACGGAATGTTTGGTGAGTCCACCTAATGATTCCGGGCTAGAACTTGTTGGAGGTTAAGAGACTGACGACCCGCCTGGACACTTATCAATTGAGAACAGGATGGGTGAAGCAAACCTATCTAAGTTTCATCTGCAGGGGCCGCTAAAATACTTTAACCAATACCTTCGTAACCCACATCTGAGACACGATTTGCCAATCTTGCCAATAAAAATATACCAACGGATCAACTACTGGTCACTGGATAGTAAACTGCTGTGGTGTTTCTGAGAACGACTGAAGTCCACGGGAAAACATGAAAGACGTATAGTAGCTTCAAAACTTCAAGACCCCACGGTCACAGGACCGAAAAATCAAATCTTTAAGTTCCTACTGCCTGACTAGATGTTCAACTCCTGTCCACTCATTTAGTAACGTTTAGGTTGCGTTAAACAAGTTAGGCTAGCTGAGAAGTTTGACAATGTAAAGTGAGAGAAGGGGCGGAGTGTTTCACTCCAGGTCCCATCAGGTTCGCACTGCAGTAGTGCATAAATGTAAGGTAACATTTAAACTCGACATCACCCCTTCATATGACTAACTGTGAGACTGAGGAAAGCGCTCCGACAGTCCACTACCTGTTTTAACATTTTAATACTAAGTATGTAGGCATAGTACCCGACTGTCACCATGGCACTTCTTCGATGAGGGTTCCACTCCATAAATACATTCGTGTTTGACCAACGGCCAGGAGTAATACGCCGGGAAATGCACTTTCAAGACATTCTAGCAAACTCATAAGATTTCCAAAAAACTTTTCTCCCTCAAATATGGGTACACAAATCCGTAATTCAACTAATTTTTGTAGACATCTACTACTAATTAAATTACTCGAATTAAACCAACGAACTTAAAACGTGTAAAAAACGCGGCAAGTTATCATTCTTGAATAAGCCAGTAAAACCATTCGATAAAGAAAGAGGACTAAAAAAATTCACGTGTCGGGTGTCCCTTTTTCATATACATACAAATACCCAATAGCAGTCAAATTTATTCGAAGCCTACTAAGCATAAGTGCCAAAGTGTACTGAATGCCTAGACACCTCATGAGGGTTGGGCCCAGTCAAAATCCATGGTAAGATACATGGGTATTATGAGTGTTTCATGTTCTATAGCCGTATTCCCTTTCGGAAGCTCCAGAAAGCACTAAAAACGCCCTTCCTAGAACTTCCGCTTTTCAGTTAACACACAAACGGCTCTTTGAGGAGTGTTCCCTATTTGCATGAAACCAATGTACTAAGCATCCAAAAGTTGATTACTGGAGATGGCTTGCACAAAGGTTGCAAGAAAATCTACTCGTTCTTTGCGCGAAACAGAGATCAATCGCACTGAAAAATTGGCTAGCATTATCAGGTGTACCATGGTTTGGTATCGAAGCAATGAAGAACCGCAAGCACTTGGTGAAAAGTAACGTAGCTCATAGATTTTTTAATATATCAAGTCTTGTGTACTATCAACTGTCTGACTAGTTTGCAGCTAAGAGTTACATTTGTCATGGAATAATTTGCTGCTAACAAACGTCAGTTTCTTTTCCCAAATACATGCCTGAAAAATTAGAGAGGACACGTTCCAAAGACTGAAGGGATACAGGTTTCATCTTGCAGATAAAGTTAGTTTACCTCGAAAACCCAAGAAATCGGACTATGCTTTGTTCTCGGTAAGAGTCTTCAAAGGCTAATCAGACCAACAATGATCTGGATGTTCGCTGAACACTGTACCATTCTCTCGTGTATGGCTGAACTGTAGTTCCATTAGCTTGGGTCGGATATGGCACCATTATCATTCCATCCATCAGTTCACCTCAGGTGTTCTGGGATTGAAAGATTCACATAGTGACGACTTTTTAAGTTACTTGCCAATGTGTTTTACTGAATTTTTAGATTGTACAGTCTAACATTACTAACAACACTAACATCGCTTTAATTGAATTCTATTCGATCCATAAATACTTAAGTAACACGGTAATGTTTTTCAGATAATTAAGCAGATGTCGGGCACTTTTCTGCTTTCCAGAACAAGTTGTCTCCACTTGCAAGGTGTTCATTGTTCAAATACTAACCGGAATCCCGAAGTTTCGAATCTTTCTATAGCTCAGAGATGGATTACCGATGATGCATAACATGGATGATGCAACTGCACAGTGCGAACTGACCTAAATTCCAGGATAATATTTTTACCGAAAAGCTAACATCTTACCGTAAACAAGTCATTTCTGACTAGGAGTACACACTTTTTATTCTGAAGATACTTTCTGGAATTACTGTAATTAGCATATTCATAAGCCTCCTGAATTAATTATGGCACTAGCACTTTTAACCGTAAGTCCACTGTTGATGCATCAAGTGAAATAAATTTTGTTCAATGAGTGACGGGTGCTATCGGAAGTCACCCGGATATTACAGCGGTACACCTTCAGAGGAGCACACTTGGGACGAAAACAGATAACAGGCGTGACCTTGAGGTTTCCTTATAGTGAGAGGGTGATGAGATGATTTCTATTAACCTAAAAAACTCAGCATCCACATGAGTGACTTAGGTCTCCTTTGGTGGTTGTTTCAGTGATTTTTGTCGGATATTTATTGAGCTTCGTCTCAGTTATTATTATTTATTATTTTGGGTTTCAATCTCTTGGATTTTGGAAGCTCAATACTACAGTGTGCTACAAATTTTCGGTTGGCTTGAGTTCAGATCTTAGATGAGACAGGCTGACATGTTAATGCTGCGACACGGGAGCTGTGCCCTGACTGGAGTGCATCAACGCTTATGCTGGTGTCGCCCTCCTTGGGTCTCACCAGGTGGGCGTAGTCCTATTGAACGCAGCCCTACTGAACGAAATTTGCGAACTACACTAATTCACACACAAATTCCCAGGTGAATCTCTGTCTTTTATTATTTCCCCAAGAAACTATGCTGAGATGTCTCGGCTTTCACACCAACTGAAGAACTAGATAGCACATTCAGCTCAGAAATACCGCAAACGAGATATTCAGCTGGGATTCAGCTGAGTTTCCCGTGAAGACCAAACTGGAATGTGAATAGTGCATTTGGCGAAATACCTCAACCCCTTCCTATTCCCAGTACAGAATGGAAAAGAAAGATGCCACGATGTCTGGGTGCATCCAGCAGAGTATAGGATGCCTTTCAGCGATGATGATTTGCTCTGTATGATGACTGAGTTTTTAAACTAAACTGCACGCAATTCAAACGGGAGTTGCACTTGTTACCACTTTGATAGAATGATCGATTCTGAAGGTGGTCAAGCTGTAGTAACTGCGGACTGTGAAGAAAATGAAGCAAGGCAAATGTATTAAACGACCTCGTTTGATTGCACATAACTTGAATTGTGCCTGTTGTCACTTTGAATCCTGATCGTTCGTCGATGAGCGAAAGGTATGAGTTTAACAGCAGTACGAAAGTCATTCAGAAGAATCTCGTTTTAGTCGAGCAATGTTTACTTGAAGGTGACATCTAGGATTGTGGATCCCTTAGGTCAGCCAACCTGAACGATATCCAGTCCCCTAATATGTACGTTCGGGCCGTCAAATAATCGTCATCGCCACCTTTTTCACCATTAAGGCCGGAATTAGCTCAGTTTTATTTTGAGACTCAAATAAGTCCCTGTTTGTAATGTTCTTCGAATGAGTTGGCTGCAGAAAAGCTGTTTCATGTCTCAGGTGATATCGCATTAGGCTTTCTTCATAGAGCACTCAACTCAAGCAGAACGACGCGCTTTGTGAGGATACACTGGTGAACAACTTTGGTCACATCAGGCATTGGCTTTTGTTTTGCCATGTTTACTCATTGGTCTGATTGCTTTAGACTCTGGGTCTCAGTAGAGATCATGTAAAACACGCTGTCATGCAGGGATATAAAAATCTGGGAACCAACTAACAAGTTGGTTGGAAACTGATAAAAACAGATGTCACGAGCTATTCTCAAGGGTTCCGTGGCGGAGTAGCCGGAAAAGTCGTTGGGAATTCTCAACATTATCGAATACTGTCTGTGGTCATGAAATTCTGCTACGATTTGTTCCACTATCCAGTGCTTTCAAGTCGGCCTCATCACCGCACACTCCGGTAAACCATGTTTATTGTCCGAGGCCGCCTCTCTTTTGCTGACCCGAAATTGTTTCAGCTATCATAACAACTGTTGTTGCCCTGTTGTCATCTGACAAGATTTAAAATTTTAGGATGAATTACTTCTTTCATGAGACTGTTCAAGCACCCCCAGAGAAGAGAGGTCATACATACTAACAGGAAGTTCTCTAAGGTAGAATAAGTTAAGTTTCTCTGAGCTAGCTGCATCCGTCCATATAATTTCACTTATTCCTGAAATTTACTCCCTTACTAACTTTACAGCTCACTCAATTACCCGCTTACCCTGCCAATTGCTTGCCTGCCTAATTACTTACCTGTTCACTTAGTATTTAGCTCAGGCCAATGTGGTCTGTCGGTTTAATTCACCTAAAATCAGAACACCTAAAACATCAAGCAGATACATATCTCCTTACCAGTGTGTTCGTATTTGTGTCGCGCCAGTGAACTGTATTTCGAGAAGACTTTTTGACATTGATCACAGGTCAGTTGTTCGCCAAACGCGCCACCTCCGTCGCTTCCTCCGACGCCGCTGCTGCAGTCAGCCATACTGTCGCTGATACTATCGGTAACCTGGAAATGACAAAAGAGGCGAAAGTGTCCACGTCTTGTCTGTCATAGGTAAGCCGACCAAAACCACTTTAGCATTCTAATAAAAAATAACGCTAGAGGCAGCACTTTTCATCGTGGGATATGAGGCTAGAGGTAGGAGGGAGGAGAATAACCTGAGAGTGGAAAGTATAGACAGATATGCCAACCTAGTATGATGACTAAAGCCTGTCCATTCAGTTTCACATTTAGAGGGACCGATCGGTCCATATTCTGGGTGCTGTAGTTACACGAACAACACCGTAAAAACCTCATTTTAGTGGGCTTTGGACCTAGTAAACTTTGCATAGCTCAAACTGCAATGGCCGTAAGACTATGTCAATATAAAATTATGAATCAGGTTTTGCAAACCGCTTTCGATCTAACCACAGTCAAGTACTCAATAAATACTAAAATTAGATGGAATATAACCACGAGTGTATTGACGGCATAACCATTAACGGAATAATGTTTCAACATCTCGTCGTCAGGCTCTTATACATACACGCAAATCTAGAATGGTTTGCACATAAATATTTGCACCATAGAAACGTGTCAGATTCGATCAGACTTTACAAGAATCGGAGGCAGAGTGGCCTGGGCTGAAGTCAAAAATCGGGATCAAGAAGTTTAATCAACTGGTTACGTGATGTCCCCTGGTCAGTGACAGCAGGATCGAACAGGTTAGGCCATGTAAGGCCATGAAAGAATAATTCAGGCCTTCGAGTTCTAATAACCATGTATTCTTCGGGAGCCAGCATTCTAAACCAGCATCTAGGTAATAGCTTCATGCCAACTTCGTAGATAACAGTAAGTGCCAGTGTACTCGGTATCCTGTGCATAGAATGTGCCATCACTGATCTACCAACTGTTCTCACAAGTTCATACACTCTCTTAGACAACATTCTCGCCATCCGGCCAATGTGGCAAGTTCCACAGCAGCAAGCAAAATGATAGTGGTGGCCTGGTGAGGCGATCGACCTTTCAGTATTTGTCTGAATGTTTTTATTTAACTGCCCATCGGTCTCAGTTAGAACCCAATATTTTCCTATTTATAAACTTCTCTGGTCAGCGTTCACACCTAATTACACTTCTTCGGCAATGTCAACCTGTCAGCAAACACCTCATTCTTTTAGCGACAACCTGGAACGGGACCACTTGTCCAAACATTCTACGTTGAACTTGAGTCTAATTAAGGTCGAATAACAACGTAACTTCGCTTGGCATATTACACGGTCGCATTTTGAGATACTAGCAGCATCACGCTCAAGCGGTCTCGAAAATCCTAAGGAAAACTGCAGCGGTATTCCAGTTTGCATCGCTGAAACCACTGACCCGATTTTTTCCTTACAATCTAGTAAAGCACAAGTGTACCTTCGGCACGTCAGGGGAAATTACTGGTGGTCAAAATTTATTCCCACATTTATTGTAAGCTAAATGACAGTATACATGTGCTACTCGACATCTGAAGGTATGCAAAATATTGCGTGATATTTTAATCACAAATTTCTACAGCATTTTCAAATAAACGGATTGTTAAAATGAACGAACTGGATTGGCACGTTTCGTTAGGTCGTTCGGGTAGATCCATCCAGTCTAAAACAAAGCTCTCTGTCGTTTTACGTTTACACCATAAAACTTCATGCGAAAATTCAGCATCTAATGTTGAGTCACTCATGTATGTCTAGAACTTTTCCAAGCCCTAGTGATTCTTAATCACAAAAAGTTTCCCTGGATCATTTGTAGGAGCACATGTTGGGGGACAAAAGGATCTTAACAGGATTTTCAAAACTAATAGAGATATCACTCTGCTTGGATTTTGTACTTTTAAACCCAAGCCATTTTGCTGATCACTTCACACCACCTTGTGTCATCTCCGCTGATCCAAGGCCGCTCTGCACACGTTTGCCAATTCTGCACCCTCTATTCTATTCACGATGGGATGTTTGGCGATTTCCTCCTCGTCCACTAGTCGCCCCTGTCTCAAAATTTCCACATTTTCCAAATCTATCCTGCACCATGTGTCTAGTGTCTAGCGCATGCCATGCCATTGCCGAGTCTTTGCTTAACGCCTGATATCCATCTACGTTTCTCGGTGGTCTGTTATCGCATCGCTTATGCTCACCAATTCTGGTGTGCAGTTCCCCAGCTGTCTGACCTATAGAAAACTTTGTACAATTGTTACATCTTATTTTGTATGCACAGTCGCTAATATTATATATATATATATATGAAAAAAACACCCAAACAGGATGACCACCCCTTGAGGTCATACATCAATCTTTACGCACCTGCTATCTTCCACACTAAAATGGTGCACTAGTTATCCAACTAATACTAGAAGTATATGTCATCAATAATAAACGCCGGAGTTTTAAAACCATAACATACATTTCTCAAACCCCAGGATTGCGTTTTCCTAATGAGTCCCAAGAAGAACGAAATCAATGATAGGGTGCTATAAGTTGTACTATTTCATGGTACTTTACTTCGACGTGTCGCCTACTGTGTCAAATGAGGCATGAATCGCCAGTTGTGCTGTACATTTAAGTCGGAATGCATATCACAGAATAGGGATTGAACTGAGTCATGGTGTAAAACCAATGGGATTTTTGGATGAATGCACTGAATCACCCTCATTCATCTTCAGACAGACCAACTAAGCTGGGTAAGTAGTAGGGACAAGCAAGTCAGAGATGCGATGCCTTGTTTAAAGTGTACAGTAACTGGCGACCAACAATTGCTTCAATGAGATATTGACAACAAAATAGGTTTGTCATTCCGAAAACATCCCCCTTAAAACTCTGCGGATTAAAAGGTTGCGAAACAAATCATTCCCAACAACGAAATATACGACAGGAATCCTCCTTTCTAGAGTGGACTCAGCAATCTTAAACCACTCAGGTGGATCCAGGTGGATCTCCCACTAGATTTTATTGACTGATAAAATTGACTTCGAGTGTGTGCGGTTTGAGTATTATCCGACGCAATCGATCTAAGATGATGATACCAACTTTTATACACTCTGTTCGTGTTCTTTAAATCCTCCCACCCAGGTACACTGCTTTGCAGGGTGAAGTATTTAACTGATAACAAGATTTTTGCACTGTAATTACACGATCGTTTGCAAATTAAGTTAGTTTTAATGAAAATCAAAGGAACTAATCAAACTCTACAAAATCTCGTGCTTTTTTATTTATCTAGATAAAAGTGCTTAGGAAGCTGCTTTCCGTTTCATTTGGGAGGATATTCAGGAAATGCCTTTCTGATAGTACGCTGCTTGAAAATCTGCTGCGTCCCAAGCAGGATAAAACCGGTAGTGGTCTGTTGCAGAGCTTTTATCAAGTACTTTTAGATGGACGATTGTTCTAGGTGCTTTCAAGAGATTCTTGTCATTTTACCCTGTATTTTTAACTCAAAGTTTGATCAAATCGAACAAACTACATTGCACAAAGCCAACTAAGCCGGACTCTGCACACAACTGTAAATTCGGTGATTCGTAGAACTGACTACGTTTCCCAAACCTTACGATCATGCTATAGACACGCGAGAACTTAATGCCCTGGTTATATATGTAGTACTGTCCTTGATGGACCGATAATACTGTGAATGATAAAGGAGATCAGATCCCAGAAGATTAGGCAGCGAGCAATCCGCAAACTTCCTAAAATTCACTATTTTGTTGTCCTGGGATAGATTTTACCCCTTGGAGGAACATCAATAACTCATTTTCAAAATGCGGAATGCAGATGGGAATGGCTTGCGTTCTGAACACAAGCCAACACAGCACTACTCAAATGTCCGTAAAACTTGAAAATTTTCGGGTTAAAATCCAAAATTAAATCGTTCCTATTTGGACTTAATCTTACGTTCCAAAGAAGAAAACTCTCCATTTTAATCTTTTGGATGCTCTATTAAGACGCCAGTGATCACGTGATAGATTTTTAATAAGGACTAGTTATTCGCCCGTTGCTGATTCAGACAACTATACGCTTGTCAAGAGGGTGCCACCTTTGACAAATACACACCAGTACTAAAACCGATACCAAACCTACGTAAAACGGTAAACAACGATGCTTTAGTAGAGGGTTGAAAGAAAGGATGAAAAAGAGGGATGAATGCAAAATAGCTGCATTCCCGGAGAGAAAAACGGTGTTGCTGAAGTAGGCGCAGTGAATTAGACAAATCTGCTTAGGCTCCACCCATGGCAATCCCCACCCAACACAGAACCAGTGTACATGCCACAATGAATTTAGCCAAGCGGTGATGCTTGCAATGTTTTGAGGTGTCCCCAGCTAAGAAAGAGACTGATTCGTTCCGCGGCCAGAAAGGCACAAAAACTCAACACTACTTATTTGACCCGAAGCAGTAATCACTCCCTATTGCCACATCATTGTCTGTACGGGCTCGACCTTTTTCCGACGGGGGAATCAAGAACAGAGCCTAGTTTGGTAGGCGGCCTATGGTCATGCGTGGTTTCGTGTTTCAACCACGCTAACTTAGAGAGCTCCGTTCACCACTCTTGCGATCCTCTTTCGTGCTTCTCACCTTATAGACAAGCTACGTCTAGGCAAATCCTGTCATACGACGTCACTGGTAACCAAAATCTGAAGACAGCATACATAAGTGAAATTTAGAGGCCACAAGTCTTTTCTGTGAAATTCTGGTGACATTCTACTCGTGATTAATTTCCTGGAAAGCTTAGTAAAGCCTGCTGCGTAAAATATTCCTTAGTGTAAATAAGTAAATTTAAGACAGAAGCTGATTCTTGAGTGACAACTTACTACTTAAAGGTATTTTTTAAAATTATCGAGCATGATGATGTGGTTTCCTCCCACTATTCGGTGTTATATGCCGGTTTCTGGAGTATCTAATTTAAAGGAGATGAAAGCGTGAGTCACACTACAGTTTCGCATATCACGAGAAGAAGTTGGTCAGAAATAATCGCATATTTATCTCAGAAACAGCATTTCTCGAATCAATAACGAAATGTTGCTATTATTTTCCAGGGCATACTGGTGTCTTATCCCATACATTACTCTCGAAAAAGTCAACACCTTCAGGAGGGGCGACCAGGCCCCGTTCCTCATGGAGAGACGTTAAACGGGATAATTTGCACTAGATATGGTACAGGCATATACTGACTGGAATGACGTGAATCGTTAGTTTTGAGGCACCACAAGAGTTCCGGTCACATATAACTCATCAGCGTGTATGTCTTAAGAATATTACGGAGGACAAGGCAACAATAGTACAAATAATTAAATAGCTTAAACGTGTGCAAACTCTTGTGGTTCTCGCTAAGAACTTCTCTAGACTTCTCCCGTAGATCAAGTAATAACGTGACAGCTACGGAACTGACTGGAAAAAAACGGTTTCCCAAATAGAGGCGTGCGATCGACTGACTCGAGCAGAAAACTTAAGATTGAGGCCCATATTCAGGTCTGTCAATTAAGCTCATCACTGAGTTTAGCTTGATTTGTTATTTAAATGCCTTTTTACAGACAGGCGTGGAAAACGAAAGTGAAACAATGCCTAATTCGGTGTGTAACGTTATGACGGATTTTTATAAAATGTTATAGCTGGACTTCGATAACCTCATCCACAAGAGCGTATTTGTCTTTATGGGAGTCGACCAAGTGGATGAAAAGTTTTATTTACGTGGCATCTCCTGCAGATGATACGATCATGTGAATCTCAGCCTACCATTTTCACGTCATTGTGAAGGACAAAATATCGTGCCAACCGTTTGGTGTTTTGCATTTCCATTAAGGGTTTTGCGTTATCAAAAGCTCCGACTACTACGAGTTTAGTTTAATTAACAGTCGCTGTTTTGAGAAAACAATATGACGTTTTGTGGGTTGAATTCATCCAAGTAATACGTACTAGCCGTATACGCTTATGTAACTCACGTAGAGTAAAACTTGCGATGACATTGAGCATTCATAATCCATCTGCTTAAACAGTGGTGTTATTTTGACTTTTGAACGAGCTTACTATTAGTTCCATATTAGCCCACATTTTGCGTAATCACCATTCTCAAATTAGTATCTAATTATGGAATGTGTGCACCAGAAAACACTGCACAGTTTGCAGCAGTTGTGTGCATTAGTCTTAGCGGCTTCAGATGGAGATGAGGGAGCTTAATGTTTCTTTCGATCGTTATCATAATTTGCACCACCATTCAATATTGTCAGAAAAGTGTTGTTCGAATACTGAAAGACATGGTTAAACAAGCACTTTAGTTTCAAAGGGGTGAAGGATGATGTTTTTCTGCTCAACGTAGACATCATTGAATGAAAAGATCGTACGGTTTACCAAAAACGAGATTAAGCGATATTTTTGCTTAGCGTAACCTAGTTTCCTGCACTTTGTCTCCAAACTGACCAATGTATCACGTTAGTTTAATCCTCAAAATTCAGAAAGGCCAGACTCTCCGAATATTATTTTTGGTGGGTGACAGACTTAAATTCCCGTTCATTGGATTCGGGCATTCACCACCAGCTTAGATATTCCGGTTACAAAAGAATAAAACGTGGGAGCGCCCTGCGTTTTCAAAACGTCATGGCAGATTATGTTCCATTAGGTGTGATATACTTTGCTGGTATTATTTCTATATTGGTGTTCTAAAGCGATCCCTCGCAACCGCAAAACTTTAATAACTCTCTTTTTAAAGGAGGTCCTCTTTGAGGTACATATAGTCAGTACTGTTCAAAGAAGGCCGTTTTACCCCCTCGTTGATTTGTATTTAAAAAGTGCATTTGAGGGGGGGGGGTAATCACAGGATGGCATACAATCCCATTAAGAATGGGACACGAAAGTAGAAGTCAGCCAAACTACCAATGTGTATTAAGTCCATTAAATTGAGTGCAGGATTATGACTGTTTGTCAGGTCACCATGTGGGCTTCTTTTATTCAGTTGCCTCGAACGGACATGACCGATCTTTGAAGCGATATACATATAATATCTACTTTACCAGATTTGGTAAAATGTTATCGGCCTGACAACACGCAGTAAAAGTGATCACGGATTACTCTTCGACCAAATTATTCACAGATGAGCACTGTGCCTTTTGTGCTTTAGGTCTGTACTCCCACGTTTTCCCGTCTTTTATAATAATAACGTGGTTGCACAAAGCCAAGTTAATTATGAACATCCAAATTTGCAAACAATGAGCCAGAGGCAGACTGCCCAAAAACCCAGGCAACAAAGCATCACAGAGAGAGAGAGAACCTGAAGTCCCTGAATCAGAGGAAGTGCGATCCGCTCTAACAGCCTCCACTGGAGGAACAGGGAGAAAGTAGCTTGATTTTCTTGACTGCCTACTGGTTTTATCCTTGTTTGCAGCAAATGAGATGCAAGAAGGATTGAAAACTCAGCAACCTCCTGTAACAGTCTGTATTTCGATGACAAAGGTGTTCTCACCCATCCTGCTTGGATACGGCCGCTTCCGGCATTGGGATCAACATGGAGCCGCAGTGCATGAACAAAGTTCTTCGACAGCCCACAACCTGTTTTGCCCTGCTTTAGGCTCATCTCACAGGCGCAGCCCCAAAGTTCCCATCAATCGTATGTTCTGCTTGAGTCTAAATTGAACAAAGTCCGACAAATACACTCACTTGCAAACCAATTTGGTTTTCAGTGGAGAGTCACCTGAATCCCAGGTCAATACACTGTGTTACGATATCTGTAATAATGTATCAACCGAAGAATACAGCGGCCTGATGAAGAAGAACATCATAAACGAGAGATTCAACTGGAATTCAGGTCAACCTCCCCTAAAAATTAGGTAAACTCCTTGTATGTCTGCAATGTTCACTTTCCACTGTCCACAGTCTAAGTAGTTGAGCATTAATTAAATGAAGTGAAGCTAGCAACAATCCTCCGTTCTTGACTTTTATTGAAATCATTTTATCACCGAATGCTGAAATTACTTATTTCTCGAACTAGATAAGCTGTTTTCCGTTGATCACCTTCCAGCGTTCGTTCTCAAACATACGACCATGTAGCTGTGGCATTGGTTGGTGGTTAAGCTATTTCAGGAGGTTTCAAGAATGTAAATGGGGTGAGACGACGGGAACCAGGGGACGACAGGATACCATTGGTTAACTGAACGAGAAAACTTGAAGAAACCGGCCCATCGGAAGGGAAAAGTCATCAGTCAGAATCCAGTTGACTTGAGCAAGCAGGATGCAGATTCTGATGCGATGGCTGCCTAAATGAGTATGGTCAAAAATTCGTAGCAGCTGGGACACACTTACATACAATAAAAATAATGAGTTTCCATATGGGGCGACAACAAAATCCTCTCTGGAACCCAATAAATGTGTTTCCATAGTTGAGCTGCAATATGTTGCGAAACTTGAACTATTTCGCCGCACCAGGTAAACGGCTCTCTTAAGTGCAACTGGGATCCGATCTCATTAGAGCACAGCGTTTACGTCGGTGCTGAAACCAAACCGATGACGGAATAAAATATGAACAATCAACCCGGTATACCTAGTTTAATTGTCTGTGCTAGCGGGTGGCTGAACTTAAAGCTACAGCGGGTCCATTTGGGACACAAGTTTTGCTCAGGATGAACCAAGTATAAATTTGGAGAGAAAACCCCAGACTTACTCTGATATCCACATTCTCTTCCATGGATACTTCCAGGTCTCCATCATGTCTGTATTCTGTGCATGGCGTGTTACGTTGCTCCATTGGTGAATCAAGTTTCTTTGTCTTCGTGATTTGAGCCTCGCAATCAACACCGTTAATTTTTAAATGTGGTATTGACTGAAACTGCGCAATACCTTGTTCTAACCCGAACGGATCATCAGTGCAGAGCTTGGATGGGGTATCTATCATTTTCGCGGCACCTAACATGAAGGCAAATGTGGACATCCATCTCTTCATGTTTATGGAAGCGCTGTTTTCCGGTATATATAACGAATTATGTTCGACCGACGAGGAATCTACTTTAGTCACTGCAGAAGGTGTTTGCATATCTGCCGGATGGGATTTTGAGGATAATTTTGGCATGGATAAGTCAAGTGCAGCTTCTTGTACATTGTGTTCAGGCGACTGGAATGCGCTCCATGCACTTGCATAAAACGGTTTATCAGCAATCGGTGCAAATGTCTGAATCGTCTTATAAGACGATAAAGGAGAAGCTAGATCACAAGACAGAGCCAGCGACTGTGAACTATGACGGGTAGTGGGTGCTACGAAAGGACCTTCTGACGACGTCTGGGGTGGGGTCGATTGATTCCAGTCCCAATCAGGAGTTTGATTACAAACATCCTGGGAAAGCTCTGGGATAGAAAATTTCTTCTGTGAGACGTTACGTGTGGAAAGTTCTGAGGAATCGGATACAGCTTCTTGAGACCGGTAATACCAAGGCCACGGTCGTGACGTTAATCCGAACAGTGTTCCAGGCAGAGAAGGAAATGATAGAGATGACAAAGGTGGATATTTCTGGAATAATGGAATTGGAGACGTTCCAACAGAAGTGAAGGGAAATGTTCCCATATGAGGCAGACAACTGGGTATCACATCTTTATTAAGACAGTTCTTTTCAGGTGGACTCGGGGGAGACTGTACTCGCTCGAGGTTGTGCAGGCCATTAGTCTCCGATTCCTTGTCAACACTCTTAAACAGCAATTCACGTTCCTGGAATGGTGTCGCCAATCTAGCAGCATGACCCTCAGATGAGATTATGCTCCTCGGGAGAGGCGTGTGGATTGGGTGAGACTCGTTGGTTGATTGTGTTGTGTTAGAAGAGACAGATGTGGACCAGTTCAGCGCACTGCATTTTTTGCTAGTTGTGTGACTGGAATAGGAACCCGAATGACTGAAACGTTTTCCACAATGTTTGCACATAAATGGTTTCTCCCCAGTGTGGATACGTTCGTGTTCCTTCAGATGATGTTTAAATTTGAATGCCTTGTTGCATTGGGAGCACCGAAATTTTCTTAACTCATAGCTTTCTGTGTGACTCAGCAAGTGCCGCTGAAGACGGTAGACATTTGCAAATTGTTTTCCACACTGTTCACAGGCCGGTATCCCACGAACGTGGTCTGGTTGGGAGGACCTTCCATCCAAAGCATCAGTTTCAGGGCTGTTGACGTAAACCGGACACGTGTGTTTGGGGGGCGTAACCTCCGAGTTTGGTGAGGAAAAGCAAGATGGAGGTTCCGGTCTGACTTGTGCTCGATGCACTTCGGTGCACCAATTTGTCATCAGTGGAGTAGTTTCGTTTAGAAAATAGTTATCCGTTTGGCGAGGTTGCAAGGAAAGAAAAGGTGGAAATCGAGAATGAGGTTGTTGAGCCATTAAATCCTACCTAAACGAAACATGTATAGTTCAGATAGCACTGGTATGTAGCGGATCGCAGATGCGGGAGTTCGTGCCGCTCGAAAGTGTATCGGTTTGGCTGTCAGGTATGTCCCGCTTGTGCCTAAAAATTACGGCCATCACCTTACGCACCTACGATTGGACAGTCCGTCACGTGGGCTGAACAAGGTAGAAGATGGGGCAACGCGACAGCTGTTGATCAAATGGCGGGAGGCGCTGCGCAGTTAAGGTGTACTCGTTAGACCAAACCAACATATCGGTCACCCCTCTGCGTCCGCACACCTCTAGCTAACCCGCGCACACCTTACAACCGGCCAATTAGAGCAAAGGTAACTGGATCGAATTCTCTCTCGTCGACGCACGTGTGTCTCTCATGTGTCAATTGGCGCTATGTCCCAGACCGTCTACCTGTACGGCGCCAGCAACGAATGTTTGTGTGCGAACAGCAGAACAAATTACAGACTAACCGACAAGCGGGGACAGTGCGTACGTCTGCGGCTTTTACAATCTTTGAAAAAACCGTATGCCAATTAGCCCCTCAACACAGTGCGGCTCTAAACATTCACCTTGGGGGAGCTGACCACACAGGGAAAGTCTAAGTCATCAACATAGAAAAAGGAGTGGAAGTTTCGTATTGTGTAAATATAGACTGGCTGTTTAAGGTTCAGTAGTAATTGATCGTTGTCAGTTCAAGGCAGGTGGAAGGGGAATTATACATGATGAGGCAAAAATCACAACAATGAACGAATGTGAACTTTACAGCCAATTGCTACTTCTAAAAATGACTCCTAAAGAATCAACTCTTCTCCTCTTCAGATAGTTCCAAGAAAGCATTCATTTTTCATCTGGTATTAAACCGATAGGAACGAGATATCATCAGTCATAGGTGTAAAAGTACACATGATAAATATTCTCGAATTACTGAATGGTGCGATACGTGGGTGGTGTGCTACCAACCAAGTTCCAGCTGTCAATGGTCATTTCTCTAACATTTACACGAATATTTCTCCAGATTGTGTATGAGCCTTCATTGGCCCTTGTGGCTTTCTTTAAGCTCGTCTTAAGGGGGTTTAGTAATCAGTCTGCCGTGAAAATGCAAAACGAAAAACTCCGAATCCTCACCATCGCCTATTTTCCAGTAAAATATTCAGTTCAAAGTCTTCCAAACATATCCGACGAAGGTTAGCTCTGCATAAGTACACAAATGTTTGATCACCGTATTTGTACACTGCATCCATTCCGTTATTCAGGAGATTTGAGGATAAAGACCTGGGTAAACATGTTTCAGTCGGTGAAGCTGTGAGGATTTGTTTCATTCCATAGTTTACTGGCAAAGTTCTTCGGAGCTAAATAAAACGTAGGCAGTTCACAATCATTCAGTCGCTTTCCTGACGGTATGCCCTATATCACAACAGGTCTCTGGGAGATGGACAATACCTGGGATGGAGGCAATTCGGCGACTGGTCGCCATCATGGAAACCAGCTATTATGTTGTTCAGGATCAAAAAATAGCAGCTGACCAAAAGAAACCAGTTTCGTTACATCTTGTCCTACCTTTTTTTGGCCCGAAGAACCACAACGGACCCAAGCAGGTGTGGTCGACAGCAATATTATATTTTTAGGCGAGTGTGGGGAGCCACACAAAACAGGTAGATCGGAATAATTTGACCGCTTTTTCCTTCCGGCCTAGTCAGTGACTTCAGACTGATTTGTTTCTTTGGAGTTAAGCAAAGGTACTGTTGGACGCGCCGCACAAAGGCCACCTCACATGGCCTCACGTGGGAACGTTATTTAGGTGATCGGATTTCGTTGTCTGTGTGAAGAAAAGTATACTTTTGTTAAAAACTGTGACATACCACTACCGGTTTCGCACCCCTCGAGGCTCGCGAAGTAGGCCTAGTACCCAAGTTTGCATAAACACTATTTCCTGTTTGAACACCAGTTGTCGCATGAGGATACCTTCATGCAGCACATTCAGTTGAAGACTGTCCTAAACGAATGTTTCAGTTCTGTCTTACGTTAACACCATTTTCGTTTTCAAATTAGACGATGACTCCATTTATGCACACTTCATTTCGGAAACACTATTGGTGAAAAATGAGGGTAGGTTTAGTTCTAGACTCCGGAAGGACTTTCAGCTGGGATTTAATTTTTAGGCCATCATAGGAATACTTGAACCAGAGGAGTATTTCTCTAATCCGTTAACTGAATCATTGAGGCTGGTTTAACCAAGGTGGCGAAGTGATGCTGAGTTGCTGACATGGTTACCTGGTAAGACCAAAACACTTAGACAACTTCACTCGGACAGCCGTAAGAGGTTGTATTCAGGATTAAGTTATGAACACCAAAGCTGAATCTCCAGGTACAAGAACAAATTCAGTTTTCTTATTTTTGGGAAAGTTCACTTTAATTCACTCATAACATCGCTGTCGGATGGTAGAAAATTGAAGGACATAGCAGAATTTACCACAACAACTTTCCAACTTCAAGAGTTTTGCATGCAGCGATGCGAAGTCTAGAGAGTAACATTCCAGCAGTATGCAGCCCACCGTAGTTTTCAGAAATCATAGGTTTCTGTAGAATCCGAGAGCAGAATGTTGAACTGGTTTATTGAAAGTATATTATGCATCTTCCCTAGTTCCAACCTCAGCATCACGATTCGTTTATTCAACTGTTTGGAACAGTTCAGATGATACCGGTCCTCCTAGCCGGAACAGCAACTTCGGATTTCATCAGTGCAGACACTTACACTTCACTGAACTTGTTGACCAAATTGCTGAACCTTACGGCGGAAGATCAGAGAGAGATCAGAGGTAATTACCCTCACCCGCTGTGGGCAGTGCTAGTCTATCGCCAGATTTATATTTAAAAAACACCGTCTGGCACAGCAGCTTACAGACAAGAATTGTTTGAGTTTGACGGAATGAACTTCCTTTCTGAATACAATGGAAGTGGTTGCTACACAAGATGAGGACTCAAAAACTAGTGAGTAGGATGGTTGACAAAACATATCTAGGACGAAAGCAACGACGAATCCCCGAGAACCATCGGGAAGTCGATATTCTAGCTATTTTTTGGGAGTTTGGTTGCCAACCGCATGGCTGCGGCAAAAACAGGTCAAGACAAGAAAAAGTTGTGGAACAACTGAGTTAGCTGGCGATACCTTAGCTGAAACGAATTTCTTCAAGAGCACATGCACTACAGACAGAAAGTAAGAAATCCACCTTCAGTCACCTGAAACAAAGATCACAGATGCAGTCTGGATGCACACGGTACAGGCCCCCGATGAAAAATGCACTTAACGCACGGCTAATATGCCAAGTCAATCGGTGTCACTGTGGTGAAACACATCGCTGAATGTGCATTTCACAGGAACAAAGAACATGGTGTAATATAACGTTCAGTCCACCGGTTCAGTCTAGGGCTAATCCCCATTTTGATTTTCACTGTTCAAATTAAAAGGCCGTTTTGTCCATGAAATCTTAACCCTTCAGATTACTACATTTGAGGAAGACCTTGCAAGTGGTCAAAGACGCATGCGTGGTGTAATATCTGGTCTTTTGGGGAATACACTTGGAAAGCCAAAACATGCCCGAGCTCCTCATGTACCGTTTGATGACAAATTTAATGGCACTCGCCACGAATTTTGCAATACTTCCTACTTCATGGACCTCAAGTGACTAGGTAGCACAGTGTAAGTCGTTCAACATGATTATGGACAACGATGATAAGCAGATCAACGCAGCAGAGTCGTTTAGAATGATTTTGCTGATGTATTCAATTAGTCCCAGGGCCATGCGACAGAGAGCACTGTAAACATCTGAGACGAGTGTTATTCTAACCCTTCGCTACCGAGGTTATGCGCGAACTGATGACCAATTTAATTATTAAATGTCCTAGTGCCAAGAGGAGTTGTTCATTCTATTCACTCCAGTCAAAATGCTTAATTACGTTTCTTCTCTAGTGCAAAGATATTTAACCAGATCAGACCATTCGATTAATGCAGGAATTAGCTCTCCTATCCAAGCCTAGGCAGTTTGAAAGTACACATTATTTCTCCAGATAAATTACTAAACATGCAAAAATGTCACTCAAAATGCCACTAGGGTATGACATACTATTGCCGCAAAATAATTTAAATACAGGACTGACTGCTGTTTGTTAAAAAAAAGTAGTGCTTCCCACTAATGAAACACTTTATTGTGGCTTCTTGTCAGCTCGCAATGAAGTTACCATATGAGTCTTTTCGACCCCTTCAGATCTTTGCCCCACATTGCCAAGTATTTCCTTGCTGTGATTTTCAGATGTTCACGATGGGATTCATCTCCGATGTATGGGCGGAGCGATCCAGAAAATAAGCATTGTATCATAATGTCTGCAAGTTTATAAGGGGGACTATGTGACTGAAGATTTGTCCGATCAGAATTACGTGGAAATAATTACCCAGTGTTTTTAAATATAACTCATGTATTATCTCCAAAAGATTTTCCCCGTTTCAGTAACGGCATCAAAAAGCATCACAGAGCAACCTTGGGCAATCAGGCTCAAAACTCTCCTCTCTCCTGAGGCCATGTAGTCAGCCAGTTAAACCATCTAATACCCGATTACATCCTCCTGATTGATTCTTCAGCTTACCCAAAAAGCACCCCTTAGTCATTGTGACCACCAAGGAACGGATTAACCATCACTTTCGATCTATTCAGTTCAGTGTTGGTGATTTTGCAGCTCACTCCAACATCTATGGATAACAGCACTCTCCTGATCGTGAACCACGGGCCATCACTTAATTGCTTTGAATGATCATATTCCATCACTGCACCTTACCAAGTCATCTTCAGAGCAAGTCCCACTGGTGATCGTCACTGGGGCCCAATAACATGACAAGCAAGACTTCGAAAAACGAACCCTGATACTTACATTGAAACATATCCTTCCGTACTACACATACTGTCCTAATTTGTTCTGTTCTGCATATTCCT